TGGACATGTCTGCCATTTTTGAAATTCTACAGACCATTGCACCAAAGTTTTTAAAAAATCTATGGGAATTCAGTTCATCTTTTGGTAAAATCTATGGGAATTCACTCTTTCCAAACACCCAGTGGTAATCGTACAAAACGTCCTGACCAATAAATTATCTAACTTTCTCTTCACCTCAGTATGTACAAGATAGAGCTCCGTCTATACCACAAACAATAAAATATGGGTGAGATGGACAAGATGAACAACTTATCCTGGAGACCAAAGTAGGGGTTCTGAAATTCAAACCATCTTTTCCATCACGTCGAACTTGCAGGACACGGAGTTCTGAATGCAGCATAACTAAAGGGATTCTTCATTATCTATACAATCTTTAGTGCAGTAACAAAGGTTCATAAGTTTTCTTTAGATTTTCTTCAGTTTCAAAACATGTAATACTTCGGTATAAAAGAAGAAAATAGATTGTGACTAATGCTGCGCCAAGATAAGCTCACGGCGATCTGGTGGGGGCATGGTGGGGCCCGAAGGTAGAGCCCTTGAAAGGAAAATACAGCAATCAGATAGGGGTCTAGGAGTGTTAGGAAGGTCTCGATTCATTTGATTGTGTTTCTGGATGCCCTTAAGTGGCAGGAGTAGTAGGGACTTAGTCTTATAGGGGTGAGGTAACTTCGTATACAATTGCCAATACTTTCACTTACATCCTTTGCAATACATAATGGCAACAAATCATACACATTACACCATGCATAATTGAAATAAGAAATGATAATAGCAAGGTTGGATGGCTGTGTGAAACTAAAAAATTCACTTCTATATTATTTAAAGAACTGACAGGTGCAACAATTCAACTTCATGATATAAACTAAAGTGCATTATGACCAGAGTAACACCTTGTTTGTGCTTTCAGGTTCATACGCGCTCGCTTGCTCACTCAATAATTCAAATTCATTACACCCAAGAAATAAAAATTAGAACCTACCATTGTAGCCTCCTATTTCTTTTTGGAAGACATTGCTTCTCAGAGGGGTGATTATACTAGTAATTATAAGGCACCTGCAGTAGAATGTTCGGTAAAAGTTTACAACAGGACAGCATTCCTCAGAAACTTAAGTCCCCAACTCGAACTGATGAACACACAAACCCCATCCTAAAGTTACTAGGATTACCACAACATCAACCAAATTTTTTCCTAAGACAGGTTAGGATAAGGCATTTAGCCTTCTGGTGAGGGGCTATTTTTCCTGAACAAATGCCAAGTGCACAGTTGTTTAGTATGCATTATTAAAAGCAGGCTCAGCTATACATGACACAAAGATAGTGTATTCTATCATGACATAATAGAACATCAGCCAGTGTCTCCCTGCATAAGCCTAACCCCTTTGATCCAAATGTTTCACTTACCTAAAATATGGGCAATAGACTTATTTGTGCATTAGTGTGCTAATTAGCTGGAGCTATGTTGCTAAGGAAAACTCATTGTATTATATAAATTTTAAAACTATTTTAATTACACTACAAACATTGGTGTTCCGACTGTTTTGATAACTGTGCCATCAACTAGTCTGTAAGGCTGTGACATTTTTATAGTGTGGCATGTTAGTTGGTAAGCCTAACCCCTTTGATCCAAATGCTTCACTGCCTACCTAAAATACTGACTTATTTGAGCAGTCACTCTGATAGGTGTGTGGTTTGTAGGCCAGGTGCACATGAACATGTGTGCAGTGACTAGACAAGACTATGCACAGCTTTTAATGCTTTTTCTCTTTTTCTGCATAAGTGTTTTAAGTCATTTGATTTGTTTATCTAGATGGTAATAGAATTTTTTCCACAAGGAAGTCCATAATTTAGTACAATGATAATAACAGCAATAAGTAACACTTTGTAATTTGTCATTTGTATACTTCTTCTTCTTCTTCTTCTTCTTCTTCTCTTCTTCTTCTTCTTCTTGTTCTTTCTTCTTCTTCTTCTCTTCTTCTTCTTCTTCTTCTTTTCTTCTTCTTCTTTTTTTTTTTTAATACAACTGGCTCTGCTAGTCATGGTGGCCGGAATAGGATCCTGAGCATGGAATTAGTTTCCCCCTCTCCCAACGCACTAGGTTTTTACGGCTTTCATATAATCGGCTCTAAGACAAGAAATTGTCATCACTGCTACATTTGCCAAAATCATTCTAATATGAATCCTCAGTTGACTTCCATTCATTGTCACACACCTCTAAGTCAATTGCCTTCTACTCATTTTTATCATCACTTTCAGACTTGTGGTATAGAATGACATTCACCTTAACCCACCCGCGCCGGGGTACATTTTGTAGCCAAAATTTAAAAAATCCGGGAAGCTACAAAATCGGCGGGCGGAGCTTCCCCGGAGTCTGTCTTTGCAGCGGAGCACGGCTCCGAGACAGCATCGCACTGGCGGGCAGCCCGAAACTGTTTATTTTTTCCTTGTGTCTCATATATGTGACACCGGGACGAATTGGTTAATAAGGTTTAGGCAGCATTTTTATCATTCATTTCAAGATTGAGTAATCAAATAACAAATATTCAGTGGAATAAGTTTTGGGCCAATCGGAAATACATGCATATTTCATGTGGATTCCAATAAATGGGAGTTCTATACTGCTATGAGTAGGTTTTGGTATTCAAAAGCAATCCAATAGGACAACAAAGGCAAGATTCTGGGATTTAGGGAAACAGGGGCCTATATACTTGAAATGTTGAAATTACATAAGCAGTATTCTTTATTCATTGTTTCATGAATTAGTTTTGCCTATGTTAAGAATTTCTTACCATGAACAAATTTTGTTTTTTAGTTTTCAATAGAATTTTTTTTTTTTTGGGGGGGGGGAGGTGCTTATATAGTGAAATAATACAAAGAATAATTTTTATCAAACCCACATTAGAAATCAAGTTTTAACTAGCCTGTCTCTTGCTTTTCAGCGTCGTCCCAGGTTCGCTTTGCGCATACAGACATCCAGGTGCCTGACTTCAGTGCATACCGCCGTGATGATGTCAAGGATACGCGCGCCAAGGCAGGAGAATCCGCTCCCAATCGCAGCGCCTTCACATACATGCTGGTTGGAGGTGAGGCCATTGAGGGATGTGGGCTGTGCTCTCGAGTCTTCTTTCTTATGGAAGAGGAAGACTTTGGTTCCGTGCCTGTCATACCGCAGCAACAAATATATTTTATCAAGAAGTTTTTAGATCTCTTTGGCAGTTTGTCAAATATAGGGCTAGTCCAATCTTTATCATGCCGGAACAAACAGATGTTATATCTTAAGTTTTCCAACAGAGGTCACAACAGGTTTAGAGTAGAATTTGAGAGAACACCTTTAATATAATTTTTGGAGAAAGGTCTTCTAACATTGCAATTCATTGAAGACACACAATGAAATGCATAGATAGTGAATATTAGTTATATCAAACTTCCAATGTACCTTTGGAAATGTTATAAACTCAGACCCCGATAGCATCAGAAGATAAAAATAGTAAAGCAAAATCGTCATTTTCAAATGGTGAATTGCCTATAGTTTCATAGAAAGACTGAGAACCAGCATATCATAATAATAAATTCTCTTCATGTATAAGTGTGTGTCATATTTATGGTATATAAAAAATAAGTTTATTATCCATTTTCTTCTCATCTGCAATATAATTGATCAAAAACATTGCTTTGTAGGTGGTACTGTGACCGGTATTTACTCTGCCAAGGCCGTTGTCTCACAGTTCGTGTCCTCTATGTCGGCCTCTGCTGATGTGTTGGCCTTGGCCAAGATTGAAATCAAGCTAGATGATATTCCGGAAGGCAAGTCTGTCACCTTCAAGTGGAGAGGCAAGCCACTCTTTGTCCGACACAGGTAAGGGGCAACTTGAGGTAGCCATCTTGGACTTCAGCTCTTTCTTTCCTTTTTTTTCTTTCTTTTGGAGGTGACCTCTATAACCCTGAGAGCATGGAAAGGTGAACATCGCTGACACAGCAGCAATGGGACTCGGAGTTCTGGCCTCGCGCACTGCCCAAATTTTTAATTGCAGTAGTTTAAATTTACGTGGGTAATTCTACTCTCACATACGAACATGAAACTGACCATAACTCATTTTCGACCACTCCAACCCAAAACCTCCCTAATCTAACCTAACCTAAGCAGTTCTTGGGCGCATTAGAAAGGTCTTGAGGTCCTGCGTGGCTTAGCTATGTGGCGTTCTGATAAGGGGTCCTTATGAGGGGTTAGGACGCAGAAACCCCCTGAAATACTGCTTATCCCCCTGGATCCGGTTGCAATGGTTACGTAAGTGGCCAGCGTCGTGGGCGTGTGGCATGGAGGCCAGGTGCGCACGAACACTTATGAGCAGTAACAAGACTCTGTGCCTCCCCTTTGAAGAGTTTTTTTGTGAAAACTTTTTTAGCTTTTTAGTTTTATCGCCATTTTCCAATATCCATACTTGTCTTTTGATTTGCTTTATCCAGATGGTAATTACTTATTTTCCTTGCACAGACTCTCTATGTAGTAAATAGCTCAGTGCAAGAAGAAAAAATATATGGAACATTTAGTTACTTGTCTTTTTGTAATTTTCTATTTTACATAATGCAACCTGCGCCACCGGTCACAGTGGCCAGGAATACAATACGCAGCATGGAAATGGCATCCTCCCTGGAGCTGGCGCTCTTTCAGTCACTGCTTTCGCACGTTACATTCCACATTCGTTTGTCCATAGGAATAATGCTAATGCCCCCTTCTAAGTGCCAAATGAGTCAATCACACTCAAAGAGGCAAGGGTTACAGAGGTGATCGAGGTTTGTGCACTTATGGAGAGTCTTTTCCGTCACCCTGGCCTTCGCTCTTGATGCTTTGTTCCCATCATCCGTATAGCTGCCCAAGTTTTTTTTTTCATGAACGCGTCATCCAGATCCAGGGGGTTAAATATTGAAGCAACAGTACATGGTTGCAGGTTTATTTAGGGTGCTATGGAAAACTATCACTGAGTAAATTATTAAATTAGATGGTACGATATGAAAATTTTCATACCCCTTATAGACCCTTAAATACACCCCTAAACAATGGCAAGGGTTACAGAGGTGATCCAGGGTGCTAGGGAAAGCTATCAGAGTAAATGAAAATGGATATGGTTTAAGTACTCATATACCCCTTATAGACCCCTTAAACACACCTAAACAATGGAATGGGTTAGGGAGATCGCGGGTGCTATGGAAGGCTATGATAGAGTAGAGGTGACTGGACATGGTTTGAGAACTCGCATTCCCTATAAATATAGCCGGCCGTGGCTATATTATGTGGGACACCCGTCATAAATGGGTTAAGAAAAATAAGTACATATGTATTGTTTTTTCCTTCTCTTCCCCTCCTTTTCATTTTTTTTCTTTCTAAATAGGGTTATAAAAGATCTGTGTTACAATAACCAGTATGAATACAGCCTCATAATTTTGCTTTTTTATTTTTTTCAGGACTGATGAGGAAGTTGCCACAGAAGGTGCCGTGGATGTAGGCAGCCTACGAGATCCAGAACATGACAATGTGCGATGCAAGGAACCCAAGTGGCTGATTGTGCTGGGTGTGTGCACCCATCTCGGCTGTGTCCCAATTGCTGATGCTGGTAGGTATTTTCTGATAGTTTCTTTTATGGAGAGGGAAGCTGACGGATAGTAACAGCATGTGTTTCTAATGTTCTGATGAAGTGTAGACGAGAATCATTCGTTAAGGAAATGTTAGTTTTCCCAAGGCTAAATAGCTGGAGAGATTGTAAAGTAATATCAAAGTATGTACTCCAGTTTCTCCTTATACCCATTCAGTGTGTTATTGGTCTTGTAGAAGGTTACCTCTGCCCCTGCCACGGGTCCCGCTTTGACCTGTCAGGTAGAGTGAGGAGGGGTCCAGCACCCACCAACCTAGAGGTGCCAAAGTATGTCTTTACACAACATGGAACAGTCATTGTAGGCGAGGATCCTTATTAAAAATCCAAGATAACAAGAGAGGGAATAGGATATAGGTCAAGATTTCTTAGGGATGTGTGTGGTAAGATTTATGCAGGTATCTTTTTTCTTTTCTACATTTTTTTTTATTCTAGTGAAGGTTGAAATATGTTACAGTATTGTAACTATAGAGCCTGCTGTATCTCTTAATTTTTCTTTCTCGTAATACATTAGAAAAAATTTCTTACATAAATTGTGTGGTAAGATTTATGCGGGTATCTTTTTTCTTTCCTACATTTTTTTTTATTCTAGTGAAGGTTTTAAATATGTTACAGTATTGTGAATATAGAGCCTGCTGTATCTTTCTTAATTTTTCTTTCTCGTAAAACATTAGAGAAAATTTCTTACATAAATTAACCCGAAGTTTTTCAGAGGAAAATATTTACTAGGTGTGTAAAATGGCCAACTCCTAAAATATGGCTGTACTTCTCGTCAGATTATATAAATAAAATTTAAGTCTGTTTGACATCACGCAATATATATCAACATTTTTCTTTCCTTACACAGTTAAAAGCACTTGAATGGCTGATCTGTCTCTCTCTATATTTCTCTAGCATCCTCCTTGATGTGTTTTCTTGTATTTCCCTTGCAACTATAAACATTAGTTAATTATTAGATGTAGTGTAGCTTCTTTTCACTTTGTAAAATGTAAAAGAGTTGATGAGACTTTCAGTCATCTGTAGAGGCCCTATCAACACTAGTACTTTTTCCATCAATTTTTGCCATTTCATCTGAATTTTAGGCTTTCAGAAAGTATGTTTTGTAAACCAAACGCCACCTATACGAAAACAGTTGCAACATTTTCCATCTGACTAATTTCCGTCTTGAATTTGTGCTATGGAGTATGTACACAACAAAATGTTTTATTATTGATAAATTAGATAGAATAAGTAAATGTAAACAAAAGTTCATATTCTAGAATATTTCTCTATACAATATATATTATATTAAACCCGTTGGATCCAGTTGTGTCACAGAAATCACAGGGTCAAAAATACAGAGAATGGGTTAAATAAGTGGCCAATGTCCCAGGCATGTGTCAAGTAGGCCTGCGCACTCATGGGCGGTGGCACGACTCTGTGCCTCTTCTTTGCGAAGTTATTTTATGTAATTTAATTTTTTTGCCATTTTCCTATGTCCATATTTGTCATTTGATTTATCTAGATGGAAATAGCTTATTTTCCTAGCACAGACTCCATATCATCTCTCAATGTCGTAGATAATTTAGTGCAAGAGAAAAAAAAAACGTAACATTTGGTAATTTTGCATCATGTATCATCCTTCCTAGAGATGGCGCTCTTCCAGTCATGGCTTATGTATATTACATTCCACATTCATTTATTGATGGGGATAATGCAAAAGCCCCTTTCTGAATGCCAGATGAGTTGAATCACACTCCAAGAGGTTTGTGCACTCGGGGCAAGTCTTTTCCATCATCCAGGCTTTTGCTGATGACGGCTTGTTCACATCACCTAGCCCTTGGCTACTTTGTCCGATGATGGCATGTTCACGTCACCAGGCCCTCGACCCAGATTTTTCCATGTCACCTAGATTGTAGGGGTTAATAACAAGGTGATATGTATGAGAATGCTCATTTGATTCCCAGGACAACACTTGAATGGTGCCAGTTTTATTTTCATGGGCAATGTTAAGCTGCCTTGGTATTATGACTGACCCTATTTCAGTAAAGAAAGTTCATTCGGAAAGGCAAAAATTGATAGGAGCTTTCAGTTGATACAACAGACATGATTGAAATTTTTACACTTAGTGGATATTCTATTTAGACTTTTACTTGGGTGTTATTATTATTTCCAACATTGGCAAAGTTGGAAATAAAAAAGGCTGTTTAAGCAGTTTTCAATGTTCCAAATGCCGTAAGCCAGTCCAGATGTATCTTTTTTTCATAGATTTTGTCTTTTGCCTTTTTACACTTTTTTTTTTACAGTTATCAAACTGTAGATATGATATAAAGTTATTTGTATTAATAATGTCTTCTTATCTACAGGTGACTATGGTGGTTACTACTGCCCTGCCACGGTTCCCACTACGACACAGCTGGCCGCATCCGAAAGGGTCCTGCTCCTCTTAACCTTGAAATCCCAGAGTACAGCTTCCCTGAGGATGGATTACTAGTTGTAGGGTAGACAGAAAAAAGGGATCTTTAAAAATGTATATTTTTTTGTTGAAATATAAAGAATTATGAAAAAAAAAAAAGGTTGAACTGCATTATGGAATTCATCAATGATAACACAGGTATCAGAATTTATTATTTTTGATCATCAAGCTGAACATTTCAGGGAGACTGATCAGTTTTTCTCAACATGTACTGAAATTTAAAAAGATGTAGATACTTGGGTCATTGAAATCGGCCATTGACACATGTTTACTGTAGATACTGTATAAATAAGTTAACCCTCTCTACAGTGAGATGGTATTTATTGCATATACAAACGACGGCTGAGACTTGTAACATAAAAGAAAGTTTTATCTATGGCTATTTCATTTATACCTCCTTTAAAAATATGGCCAAGATGGAGAAAATCATGCTTTACCAAATTTGTTCAAATATGATCCAATGGTAATGCACATGGCTGGGGATCCAGATGGTTTGCAAACAAGTGAATTTGTCTTGTGTTCTGGGATTAGGGAAGGCACCTACTTGAGGAATGGTCTCTCTCATATTGAGTCGAAGGCATCATTATAAACTTTGCAAATCTGAATATGTAAAAAAAAAAAAAAAAAAAAAAAAAAAAAAGCAGTGGATGATACACAGTAAAATATGGGATTTTCAAAAAACATGTACCAAATGATATTGGAATGCAAAAATCACAGCAAAGGCACAGCTGCAGCCCAAACTCAGATCCTATATGCAAATGGTATGAAATATGACTCAAATATGATTCACTCATAACTTAGAGTTATATGAAATGCTAAATAAAAGATCACCCTTTAGTGAATGTAGAATTCGAGGAATACGCTAAAGTAATCCCTCATTACAAAGTACATTGACATGCAGGGGCTTAGGAGACAGACCCTCCCAATACCTTGTTCATAATCGTGGGAGGGCTTAGGAGATGTAGACTGGGGCCCAATGCAAGGGATTACCCCTGCCTTGGGCCTGATCCCTTGCCTCAACTAATTTTGCTTGGTCTTTTCTTCACCCCCCCCCCCCCCCCCTCCCTTGCCCATGTTGTCGTGGGAGACTGAGACCCAATGTAGGGATCTCCCCTGCCTAGGGCTTCAGCCTTCGACGTGGTCTTTTCTCCCTCCAGCTCTTTTGTTTCTGTCCCTTCTCCAACCCCTTCTCCTATCTACTTCCTAAGGTGTAAGAGATGTGCTGAAAGGATGAAAGGCCTACTTTGTGCCAGTCCTGAACGTCCTGAGGGAACCATGGACACGGTATTCCCGTTTTAGTTGTCTAGCCCTTACCCTTCAAGGGGACCCTGAGGGGTGGACTGTTTATTTCCCCAACATAGCCAAGGCTTCCCATGGCCAGTACTGAAGAAGTAATACCCATATTAGAGGCAATGAGGCTTGCCCCTTCATCAAATAGCCCCACCAATTCAAACACTCCTGGCTCCCAAACCCCAGGCTCTCCTTTGACCACGACTCTACTCGTACTCCCAATGCTACTAGTGCATTATCCACCCAAGCAGAGAATCAGTCTCCAGAAGACATTCCTACCCACCCAACTTCCTCAACTTCATCACCTCTACCCTACAACCTTCATCAAACATCCCATCCTCCCGTATTACTACCCTACAACCTTATTCTCCATCTCTCCGTAATACTACCCCCCTCAACAATATTCCCTCTTCCACACGTCCCCGACCGTCTACCACCACCATCCCTACAAATATCTTAAATACTCTATTTAGCTCCTTACTCAGGCAACACTTCTCTTTCAACAATGCCTCCAAAAACAAGTAGGCAGAAATCCCTTTCCGTACCCGACGTGATCATTCCCGTCTCGTAACAGTCACATCTGAAACTGAAGTTATAGCATTATCAAATCTAACTGATCTCTCGGGCAACCCCATTCCTGCAGAACCTCATCCAACTCTTAATACTTGTACCTGAACTGTCTCTATCTCCCCAGCAAACTGCCTAGTTGATACCAAAGATTGGTCAGACTGTGGAGAAGACTTACTAGGATGCCTCAAAGACCAAGACGCGAATTCAGTACATTGCTACTCCATTCCTCCTAGAGGTCATCGAAAGAACCCGACCAACATTGCCAAAATTACTTTCCGTACACATGATCTTCCCTTTCGTATCTACATTGGTTGATAAATTCTCCCTGTTCGACCATACCAACCTCCTCCTCATCAATATCAACACTGTTGGCGCCTTGGACATCCTGCCAAACACTGCCATTCCACAGACCAATGCCCATATGTGCCCAACCTGGTCATAACCGATCAAACTGCCCTGCGCAAACACGCACATGTGCTAACTGCGACGGCACCCATAATGTATTTTATAGAGGCTGTCCCACTTACAAGTCTGAGGTAGCAACTCCCAGATACAAAAATGATCTCACTCTACGTGAAGCCAGATAGGAAGCACGCCGACAAGGTTTCTCTCATACTCCCTATTCTAGTAATGTCGCTTGCTCTGCCCCTCCCCCTTCACCCCAAATTGTTCCTAAACCCTCCCCTATACCTATGTACTTTCCCATTTCCAATTCTACCTCCTACCTCCCCAGTCAAATTCTGTTGCCACTCTAAATCCAGACACTCCAATCTCAACTACAGCCCCAACACCGTCCCCTCTCCCTCCCCGCACTACCCGCAGCAACTAAACGTTCCTCTTCCCCTACCACACACTCACCTCCACCTACCTTTACCTTTATTCCCCAGGCACAAGTCTCCTCTTCCCCCCTCATAAGAAACCTTTGCGGTTTGCCATGAGGGATCCTCGTAGGTGGAAACGAAGATCAACAAAAGTAATAAACAAGAAAGAAAAGGGTAATGCTAAAAATTTGCTTGAATCTTTTAAGGACTTCGACCAAAAAATAATGGAAATAACAATCCAGTACATATCTACCTTCAAAATATATATTCTTATTTGCCATAACAATTCAAATAATGTAATATTGACTGTAATGAAGGCATTACTATTAACAATCATTCTCAATCACAGTAAAACTACACCTCTACAAGGAATATTAATTTATATTACATGTACATGTGTGTGTGAGTGTGAGTGCGAGTGCGAGTGCGAGTGCGAGTGTGAGTGTGAGTGTGAGTGTGCATGTGTGTGTGTGTGTGTGTGTGTGTGTGTGTGTGTGTGTGTGTGTGTGTGTGTGTGTGTGTGTGTGTGTGTGTGTGTGTGTGCGTGCGTGCATATGCGTGTGCATATATATGTGCGTGTGCGAGTGCGAGTGTGAGTGTGAGTGTGAGTGTGCGTGTGGGCGTGGGCGTGTGCGTGTGTGTAAAAATCTGGGCTTATCACTGCCACGAGGATACTTGAAAGCATATTTGTAACAAATACCATCATTGTACCATAAAAATACCACATATTTTGACCTTTTTTAACCCAAACTTTGACTGAAAAATGTGATCACTGTAGTATTTTGTGAAATGTCTGTGCACATAGATGGCTCCACAAGCAATTAGCCACAAAGGAAAAACCTTAGGTTACTACTACTATCCATATCGATGCTGTTATTACTATTATAGGCATTACAAATATCAAACTATTGACATTACTAACAGTAATATAAGATACCAGAAAATATTTCCGAAAATCAAATCGACTCTAGTAACTTGGTACCTGTAGAGCCATCTGTGTAAGAATTAATAAACTAAATATATATTGAGCACTGTATGTACGCACTTGTAACCCTCGGCAGCATCAGGTTAAGTAAATAGGTTTAGACCCCATTGATAAATGACACAGGTCCCAAAATCTTAATATTTTACATTCATGGCGCAATTTCTCTCTCTTATATACCATTTTCCTCGAGTTCATCAAAATTATTTTGGAATTGTTCCTTACTTATAAACTACTAGAAAAAACTTTTCATACACATTACTCAAATCATTATAGGACCTCCATTATAGCTAGCATTTTTTTTCTTCTGCAACCTTTTAAATAATTACTGATTACGGCTATACTTCTTTCTTTTATCTCTTCCTCGAGCTTTTGAAGTTCAGTAATAGAGATATATATAAAATTCAGTTAGCTTTACTTTCTGATTGCTGGAAATGAGAAATACTTACAACTCTGTTTTTCTGGACACTGAGCTGATTATTTAGGGTGGTTTGCCTTTCAAGATGTCAAAAATTCACAAGTATTAGAAAAAAGGGTAATTCCTCCTTCCTGATTATCACCTATATGTAATAAAGCTAAAAATCTGTACCCTGAATACACTGGGTATGATTATAACATGTGAAAGATTTAAATCTGAGGCCAGATTATCTATAGAATACCAGATGGAAATGTTCAGTGATATCGTTTGTCTATAGATCTTGAGAGTATTTACTTTTGCATGCATATTGACTGATTTTTACTGGATTTTTCTGCTTTACCTTTTTGTCTACAATTCACTTTGTCAAATGGGAAAGGGGTCTTGGTTTTATTATTAATACTAACTTGTACCTAAAAATTACCAGGTTGAGAGAGAAGATATATGAAGGAAGATGTTTCTTCAAATGAAAAAAGGCCACTGAAGTTACCACTTTTTTTCACTCTTTTTTCCTACTTCTGAGGTACTCAAGACAAATACACTTTCATTTTGTAACAATTTCTTTATTCCACTAAATGAAGCCTGCAGTCATTACAAGTCACCATACAAAAGTGCAGCAGTCTGTTGCCAAGTCCTTTACTGTACGACAAATGGCTCAGGAATTCAAACGAAAAATTATGAGCAGCATTAGTTACAAATGCGGTTTCCATAACGTGTACCAGCATTCATAAAACAATGTATCTGATCTGTGCTACAAATTAAATACCTGAACTGTTGCTGAAAAGCTTGGAGTACACATTAGCTTGTGACTTTCTCTTTTTCTTGAAAAGTGCATTCCATTAACACCTTCCTCATAGACAATACAAAAATACAAGGAATCCAGAAATGGCTACATAATCATAATTCAAAAAAAAGTACAACACCTATCAGGAACTCCTCCAATCTTACCCTATTTCATTTATTATTCTTATAAAAAAACTAGTGAAGCTATAATACAAAGAAGGAAAAAAAAGCATACAGAAATTATAGACCAAAGAAAAGTGAGCAAATACGATGTACAAAAGGTACTTCATGGAGGGACCAGTAAGCAGGTGCTCTTTCAGTTCCTCGTAAAAAATATTCACCTTGAGATGCAAGAAACAGACAAGACAACTCTTCAACATAACACTGGCACTTTTCACGACTGCATAATAGGGAAATTTACTATTTTTTCCTTTTTTCTTCCATTTTGGTAACACACCTCCTAGCATTAATCCACAGAAAATGGTGATTATAAATATGACAATGAATTATGTACAATGAACCCTTAAGGCAGTTAAGTCTTCTACCTCATCTTCTTGGTGGCTTAAAAACAAATTCAAATCGTCAAAGTCATATTCCATGAGATTATATATATACTGCTTTTTAGAGTGGCATTTGCAGAAAAAAGTGATATCAAAAGAAGTTACTATCTCTCTATAAAAAAAAATAAAAAGAAAAGAAAAAAAAAAGCAAATCATAGGAAGAGAAACATTGTTTTATTTATATCTACAAGATTTTTATTGATTTTTTTTTCATATTAATTGTACATGCTGAAAAAGTATATCCCTCAGTCTGGATGGAATAAACACTTGTGAGAAGAAGTGAGGCAGCTGCAGCTTCCACACAGATTAGGTATGATCTGAATGCTTGTTTACAAAATACAACTCAAAATACTGAATATTTTTAAACATCTTTAATTATGCATCTCCTCAATTTAATCACCAAATGTCCAATGGAGAACCCAAACCTGTATATTCCCTCTCTTCTCACAAACACAACATTTAAACTAAATGATGACATGAAATATTGTTCACCTAAAAGTATTGCCTTATTGTACAGAGTCCAACCACTTCACCTTATCAGTATTACTGTATGTGAAAACATGTGTGCACATGTAAAATAAATACATATACATGCATGCTCCTACTCTTTTATGATTTATGTGTGTGTATTTATTTTGAGAATCTGTGTGATCTTTTGAATAGATATATTTAATATCTACCTATCTATATGTATGTATGTATGTATCTATGTATGTGTACATACATATATGTATACATAAACATGTACATAAATGTATACATGTACAGATGTGTATACATATACATTATATACAAATTCAAACTCCTTAACATTGAGTACCCTTTAGAAATTTCTTGGAGATCTCGGTGTTTGCACTTGGCATCCGGGGGATACAACCTCTCTGCTTAGTAAGAACATCCTAGTCTCCTCGACTTGTATAGTGAGCACCAGGTGCTAAGGGGACATACATATACAAATACTCATATACATATAAACTATTCATATATTTATTTAATGTGTGTGTGTATTGAATGTTGTGTACTGCATATGAATACCTGTGTCTCTCATACAGCTGCCAACGGCAATACTCAGTATACACTTTGCTTGTCATCCAGGCACAAAACTGTAAGGCTGAGTTTTTTTTTTTTTTTGCTTTTTTTCAATAATACCTTCTGATCAACTGAACCACCTGATCTCCGATTCCTACTGAAAAAAAATTGGATGAACAAAATTAATGTTGAGGCAGACAGGCTTAGGCATTTTGTGTTAATTGGTACACTGCCAGTAAGATCAGATTAATAAATGTCATCACATAGAAGAATACAATTGAAGAAAGAAAGAAAAAAAAAATAGTCTATATAATATGCTTCGCATGTTGGGGACCCTTGAGGCCAGTAAATAAGAAAGACTTAAATGAGTCATTTTCTATTAAAATTATCTCCCAGCACTTGTCATCTCAAATAAATTAATGACATAAGAAAATAATAATAATAATAAAAGACAATCAGTGATGTTTTCTGTATATTCACATGAAATTACAATTTTTCTATTAATGGCATTCATTCTTTTCCCAAACACTATACACACACACACTTACACACACAGGCAATACATACATACATACACACACTCTCTCTTGCTCTCTTAGATGTATTACACACATACAGATATATCAATCGGCAAATCCAAGCACTCCATTCATGTTTGCAACGTGTACTGGCTTGACACAAGGACAATCAAGCCAGCAACCTTTTACAGCCTTAACACATTGCCTTCAAGCAGAAACAACAGATGTCTCCACCGTATTCTAACAAGGATGAAGATCACTGTATTTGTGGGCTTTACATTTTGTCACAGATACACAATGTAAAGATGAAATTAAACTCCACATAATCATGTATATCCTTTCTAGAATGGCATGCTATTAATGTGGTGAAGGATTAAAAAAAAAAAAAAAAAAAAAAAAAAAAAAAAAAAAAAAAAAAAAAATGGAAAAAAATATATATACATATTAGGGGCAAGTTGACAGTGGCGGTGATGTGTGGGGGAGCTCATGGTCTCACTACCTCAGACCTGACTTCTCTTCTGCCCGAATCCTTAAAGCACGGCTGGAGACTCAATGCAGGGTTGAATACCCACGTGGTAAGAGCAATATTAACTATCCTTCCTTTATTTGTCTTCTTTTCTCTTAATTCAAACAAAGCTCATTTTGCCTTTTTTGGAGAGATGTAAGAGAAGTTAAAATGAGATGGGGGAATTTTTTTTTTTTTTTTTTAGTTTTTTTTTTTTTAGTTTTTGTATGTTTTTTAATCTATTCCCCTGGGGATGTTTAAGCATTCGGGCCTTCAACTACAACTTCCACCATATTCAGTCTACGAGCCTATCACGATTCTCCATTACCGCTGTCATCTCCATCATCGATATCTGTTGGAAAGAAAATGTATGTTAGACAAACACCAAACTACAACTCAATAAGGAGTAAACCGACACAAAGCACGTAGATCAGGATGAAGAAAATAATTATAAGGAATCTAAGAAATGAGACTTAACAATTCAGGAGCAGTCCAATTATGAATATCAAAACAAAACCCAATCCATGTCAATATTTACACCCGGTCCACTGGCATCCACCAAACTGACATCTTAAAAATCCACAATGTAGCAACCATACATGTAAACCATGACAAGCCACCATACTTACCATTATCTGAAAGCTCCTCGTCATCATCATCGTCATCGTCAATATCATAGTCATCGTCATAGAAGTCCGCCATATCTACGGGTTCTGTATCAGGCTTGACCTTGGTCTTGATACAGTAATCTTCTAGAGTCAGCGGAACTACGACGCCATCACGCTCAGCCTCACTACGCGATGAAGTCACTTGTTTCCTGGTTGGGCAGAGGGAAAAATCAGTTCACTTGGGCATAAAAGCAATTGAAAATGAGGTTTATATACCCTGTGTATCTGTTTGTGTGATTAAGCATGTAAGTGGATATTCCTAACCCATAGGGTAAACCTTTGGGTGCGGTCATACCAAGCCCGTACCCAGACAGAAGCAGAAGCAAAATGCCTAGAAACAGACTAAGACTAAGGTCCACCTCCAGAATAGGACAGAAAAATAAGTGTTCTGCCAGTGGTCGGCCAACACTGATGGTGGGAGGATGACACTCTCTAAGAAAGCCAAAAGATCCTACATAAGACATATAATCACTGGGTACATCCCATTAATATAGTGCTATATGATCTTTGATGTCTAGCACATTTATTTGTTTGAAGCATTAACCATTAATAGCATAATTATACGCTAGGATGGGAAACCTATTTATGATACAGTATCAACCCCACTGCATAACTATAAAACACTTTGAGGTAATTTAATGAACTCAATATAACTGGTACGAACAGATAACCCTGGATAACCACTACTTTGAGTGCTTTAAAATATTCCACAAGCACACATGCACACTCCCACACAAACAAAAGAACTTTCTGAGAAAACAATCTCCTGACCCTCCCCTCTCCCATGTGTGTGTGTGCGTGTGCGTGTGTGTGTGCGTGTGCGTGTGGTGTGTGTGTGTATGTGTGTATGTCACCCACGCACGCATCTATATGATAATCATAAAAGTGTAAAGCCATATCTAAAGTATAACAAAGACTGACAGAAAGTGCTGCATTCCTGGGACACAGACACTGACATTACAGGAATCACGAACACCTACCTGATTATATTTTCATACTCCTTGTCCTTGCCCTTGGAATCCCTCCAGCGGCGATACATGACAGAGGCATCAACGTTGGCGGGAGAATAGGTGTTGGGTTCATTTAGCAAGGAGATCACTGACAGCAAAACTGTGCGCACATTCTGGAAAAGGCACAATGAAGGTTATTTTCCAAAAGGTCGAGACACAAGTTTGCATACACAGACAAGAGATACTTAAACACGCCCAATTTTTATGAAGACTATAATTCACTATTCAACTAGCTAATTATTAAAGAATCCT